TGTTTTCAGTATTTGTCAGATTTGTAATGTATTTCACAAAATCCTATGGACATCACATATTGAAAATTTATGTGACCTGTCTTCTTACTTTACATGAAAATAGACATTGGGTGAGCAATAGGTTTTGTCTGATTCTGGCTGAGGGAACCCTTTGGAACATGGTTCTCCATTTGATGGTTACAATGGTGTAATCTGATACTTCATGACCAAATTATACAATGTTTTTCTATGATGGAATGTCTGCATGGATTGCATTAAGTGAGATGTTTCTTTTTTCCATGTAGGTAAAGCTGTGCATCATTCCATGGTTTTGAAAATTGTCATGTTTGAAGAAATGTTCTAATTCATCATCCACAACTTGTTCTAGCATATTTCAGTAGTGTAGATAGATGTGCAATGGATGATTGCTTAGTATCGTGTTTCCATTTTATGCAAGTGGATCCATTTGTCTTTGGCCATCATCAAGGTGCAGAAAATCCAAGGAAGGCTTTGAAAAGGGAGGCACTGTTATCAAATTTGAAGGTAGGGCTGTGACTTTTGACTTGTCCAAGATTTCACGGTTGGAATAACAATCAAGTCAGTTTGGGTTGGACGTTTCTCACAGTTCACATTTCTGGAGCATAGTGGAAGTTTGTTGTTACACGAAATGTTGTACAGAACTCATTGCTTTTGAAACTTCGCCAGTGTATAGTTGTTACCTCTCTAAATTGGAGATCAAGTTCGGATCAAATTCAAATCCAGTTTATCACTTACTTTTTATTGCCAGAAGGTTTGCCGTGTATTGTAAAGCTACGTTGCACAATATAAAAAATTAGTGTAACATTTCAAATTTCCACTATGCTCATTTCTGGTAGCCAGTATCTGGTTCTAATTTTGAAAATTTCTTCTTTTCTCAAGCATCAATGTGGTTAGTACCAACACAAGCAGAACCTAGCTATCTATTGAAGGTATTACTTTTTAATGTACTCATAGTGTCCCTTTCCATTGGACAATTAGTCTACTATAGTTTGTGTCTGTTGTGTATTTTTGGAAAAAAGAATCATTTGGGTCAACCAAATCTGGAGGATGGGGAATCTCTTCTAGAAGTTGAATGCAATGATAGTTCAACAGGCAAGTTGAAATGATTAGATGTGGGCTTTTTATTTAATAATTTAGGTATAATTTTTATTATATTTAAATTATTCAGATACATTATTAAATTAAAATTTTTATATTAATAAATTATTTATTATATTATATATATTATATGATATATTGATAGTACATCACTTCAACTTGTTAATGCTATAAGAGATGAAAATATTGATTTGAAAAGGTAAAAAAATAAATAATACTGCAATTATGTATGATTATTAAAAATTATATTTATTTTTTTATCAAAAAAATTATTTGTGCATATTTGACATCCAAATTTCAAAATGAAAAGAAAACTCAAAAGATATGATAATTGTGAAAGTTATTACCTTTATATAATATCATTATTAAATATAAATAATCAAATTAATCTAAATATTTATATCCATTAGATGTGAAACTATAATTTATAACATCATAATGTTAATATTGATACTAAATTTTAAAATTAATAATTGAATGATTAATGATAATTACCATTATTATTGCTAATAATTGTTACTTTATTGGAATTCACAGGTTGGGGAAGGTTTGTAAAATTTAATAATCTGCTAGTATAAATTGCATTTGGATGAATTACTGCAGTAATTGTTGAAGGATTAAACTTTATTTCATCCATTTTCTCAAACCCTTTTCTTATTGATTTTAATTCATCTTGCATTTCTTTTGAATATTTTTCAAGATCATTATTCATTACATAGTCATTAAGTGAATCATCCCAAATTTTGATAATCTTTTTAATTTCTCCAGCAGTTGGACGTTTATCTGGATTAGCATCCATGCATTTGAATGCTAGTTCAATATAAAATTTTGGTGTATTGTTTGAGAATTTGGGTCTTGAACCTTTACATATTTCCATTGCAAGATATTCATCATGTGCCAAATTATTAAATGGTTGTTGGCCAGTTGATACTAAAGACATCAGAACTCCAAAACTGTATATATCTGATGCCATTATATATGGTTTCTCTTTTAAAACTTCTGGTGCAATATATGTTAGTACTCCACATATATTATTTTTGTTTGATGATGATGTTTGACTAACTAGACATGATAATCCTAAATCTGCAATATGTGTAACCCAATTATTTTGAAGAATATTACCACTATGAAGATCAAAAGATTTTTAAGAAAATGAGTCCAAACACTGGTCCTCCTATAAAAGATGGGATTTTAATTGGAAACAACTTTATTTCAAGGTCTGCTTTAGAAAAAGATATTCGAATGATCTTGCTTGCATATCAAAGAGTAATTTTTATTATCATCATTGTGGTGTTATTATTATTGTTGTATTTAATTAGAAGAAATATTTATATATATCTTCTTTACAAAAAGAAACAACATCACGATTTCACAACTTTTAAGAATCTATGGAACGAATATAAATTTACATATATACATTTTGCTTGCCCTGAAAAATCAGGTCGTCCTTTTTTTATGCAAGTTTTATATCAAATTACTTTAAGTATGTATAATTTTATTTGATTAATTAAATTGATTAGATTGATTTTTATTGATTTTATTGCTTCTTATGTCAATTAGGGTTTTTGTTACAGACAAGTTTGCTTGAAGTGAAATTAGCTGTACTTTACACCTTATATTTACTTTATTTTACTCAACCTGATAATTTTGAAAAAATAAGAATCCGTCTTAGTTTACGTATGTGAGGGTATTTTTTTATTACTTTACATTTATATTTATATTTTTTTTAACCAGAATGGTTTTTAATTTAAAAAAAAAATTGTATAAATGTGTGTGTGTGTATATATATATATATATATATTATAGATATGTGGAGATCAATATTTGAACTTTATAAATATTGTGTAAAACATGAATTATATGATGCTGAATATATATATGAAAGAATGAAAAAAGAGCAATTATTTGAATATGTTGCTGTTGTTGATCCATGTAATGATTATGGAAAAATTGTAAAGGAAAAAAGAAAAGAGTTAGTATTTTGTAGATGTAGATGATTACAAAACTTTATTTATTTATTGTTGTGTTGAAACTCAAGTATTTTTTTTTTTTGATTTGGGGAAAAAAGTAATAGCATACATGATACTTTGGATGATATCAGAACAGAATTTAATACTGAAATAATGGTAATCATTGTTATTATTGTTATTATTATTATTATAATATAATTCATTAATATATATTTATTTATTTGCCTATCTATTTATTTATAAAAGGAGGAATTAGATGGTAATAATAATGATAATATTTTAAATCAACTTAATCAAATATCAAATGAATACTATACGAAAAAACATAAATTACAAGATACAAATGAAGCAATTGATTCCTCGAAAAAAGTTGTTAGATACATGACAACAACGATGCTTCAACATTCATCATCACCTGCCAATGATGTATGGACGCTTGTTTCACCATTTAGTTCATCAAATGAACATTTTGTAAAAAATATTAAAAGCAATATTGATCAATTTGAAAAAGACAGAAGAAAGTTTCTTGATTTAAACACTAAAAATTTTGATATCATAAGTAATAATGAATTGGCAGATGATGAAAATGAAAAAGATGGTTAGCGTAAGAATAAAATTGTTATAGCCTTTTTAAAAAACTTTTTTTGATGCTTAGCACAATTATATAATGACCCTCATTCAATAATGCTTTTCCAATCCATCCTGAACACATCAAAAGATAGGTTTAATTAATACATTTGATACAATATTATTATTTGGTTTTAATACCACTTTCTAACAAATTTTTTTGCTGTCCCTTTCCCTATAGCCCTTAATTAAAGATGTGTAAATATAGGCATTTGGTTTTACATTACATGATTTCATTAAAATTAAAAGTTTGTAAAGAATTTTCCAATTTACCTAAATTAGCCAAGCTCTCTATTCAAAAGATGCCCTAATTGCAAAAAGGACTAATCTCGGAATCTGAACTTTAAAGATAGGATAATGCCAAATGGAACAATACAACTAATGTATTTCCCTGATAGAAGAACAAAAGGAATCGAATTAGTTCTTATATGTCAACCAAAATAGTTTGTATTGTAATTATCACAAAAAAGTCCCCTATCCAAGACTTTTGTTGTGCAGTTCGGATTCTTGAGCTCCAAACTAATTTATGAACCAGAAACCTTTAATCCATCATAAGTTATATTTTATCCTAAATTTTATTGAAAACTCAATTTTATAGAATTACTTTGGCAATTATAAAAAAAATGGACCTTTACATTTCTGGTATGATATTTATCTATCTCTGACATACTGCGTCATGTACAATAGATGGACCCATGCCAATTAACAGTATCTTAAATGTAAAAACATAGTAATGTGATGATGTTAGTGACAATGTATATAAAAATAATAATTTTCTTTAAACACAATATAAAAAAATACTAATTTGTAGTCACACATTCCTTTTTACAAAACAAATTATTTGAATCAAATTATTATCTATCCATCCACCAACACCAACAACAAAAACACTACTGCTGTATATATAAAATAATAACAAAATTTTATTTGACCTTATTTTATTTTTGAGAGAATAAATGATTTTACAAAAAAATCGCCCATTCAAAGAAACAATTTAACAGCAATTTCTCCCTATTGAAATGATTAAAGAAAAATATTAAAATAATAACTATTAAATGTTATATGTTTTTGAAAAGATTGGTAGTAGTAACTTACCATTGCAACAAACACAGCTACAACAATCAACCAAATAATAATCCATGTAATTTGTATCATGTTTGAATTACAATATCTTCATGCAACATATCAAGCAAATCATTAATGGCATTGCATTTATCATTAAGAACTTTGACATGTTGTGAGATTTCAAGGTAAGCTAATTAAAATAATAAACATTTTAGTTCCAAGTTATTAAGTTACTTTTTTTATATATAATTTCTTTATTTTTACTTCTAATAGCATTGTATAATGGTTGTAAAAGTGGTTCAGACCAAAATATTTCTGGGATATCTATTAAAAATAAAATAAAATCAAAATAAATTATTAATTATTTAAATTATTAAATTGGAATTGAAAACCAAAAAGAAAATTATGCTATTCACATACCTAACACATTAGATATTAAATTTACATTCATGCGTAATTTAAACAATCCTCCACTCAAATTTTGTTACTTGAGTTCGATTTCTAAAAGTATCAAAACACATATTATTTACAAAACATTTGTAATGAAAAATGCACAAGGACTAAATTGATTGTTAACTTACAAATTTTTTAATCTTCCAGTCAATGCTAACATTTATGGTATTGATTTTGTTATATTTATTGTGTCCTCCATTTTGCCATTCATACAAACTTAACTTTGTGCTTTGACTAATGGCATGACTTATTGTTAATTTGATCATATGATTTTCAGACTTTAGTGTAATCATATCATTGAAAATTCCTGGTTTACTAGTAGACTTTTTTTTTTGATACAGATATTTGACTGAAAAGAAATCGTGTTTCGCTTTAGATGTTTTTTGCATGGTTTCGACCGCTATCTACCGTTAGGTCTTCGTCTTGCTCCGACATTTCGGACCGTTCAAAATGACCAAAAACTGATGGTCTTGTCTTGGAACCTTTACCTCGGATCGTTGATATTTTCTGGTCAGGAGACCGGGGTTCAAAAACGTTTTATTTCGTTGTCAATATAAAAAAAATTGATCGATAAACAAACAATATGTGCAAATGTTTTTTGATTGTTCGTGTTGAATTAAATTTTTTTTTGGATTTTGACCATTTGAAGGATAGTGGATGATCTGATTTCCTTTTGGAGAAAACAATAAAATCGTTGATTAATGAAAAAATTTCCTCTCGGGAAAATCAAATAAAATACGTTGATTGATTAAGAAAAAAAAGTTTAGTTGATTTTTTTTAAATCAATCGAAATTTGTAAATGACTTTTGATGTTTGCATGAAGCTTATTCTTCTATAGCGATAGATGGAAAAAAAAACACGAGGAAAAGATCAGGATGAAAGATTTTAACAATCGAAATTCGCAAATGGCTTTTGATTCACACGAGGGTTCTTCTTTGCGAAGGATCTTTTTTTCTTTTAATTAAAGAAAAAAAAAGCTTAGTTGATTTTTTTAACAATTGAAATTCATTCTTTTATGGTGAAGTAGACTTGAAAAAAACATCTGATCGATCAAATTAACCTTTAGTTGGGATAAACACGAGGAAAAGATCAAGACAAAAGATCTTTTTTTTTTAACAATCAAATTTGTAAAGCTTATTCTTCTATGGTGATGTAGGTTTGAAAAAAACATTTAATCGATCAAATTGACCTTTGATCTGGGATGTATAGATAAATAAATGAATAAAAAACAAACCGATTCGCCTCTCGAATGTTTTTTATTCGCTTGCTTTCTGCATTAATATTAAAATCAAAAACAACAACAAACAAATAAACAAACAGCTTTTATTGCGAAAACATTAATTTTGTTCTTTTGGTGTTAATGATTGGATCGATCACACAAGTAGTAGTAGTCAATTTAAACAGCATTTTTTTTAAAGAATTATTCAAAATAATATTTAAATGTATAATGTTAATGATTTTTAATGTTGCAAAAAATTTTTTTTTGATACATCAATCTCAGTCCAAAATCAATCATATTTATATACTTTAAAGTTTCTTTGATAAATAATAAATTTATCTTTTGTTTATTTGTTTCAGTAGATTTTATTAGATCAAATCACATCAGCCGATTTGGTTTTTTGGATCCTTTTCTCAAACCCTACATCTTATTGTGTCTCTACGTTAAATACGTTAAACATGATGTGTAAACTGGTCAATAGAATGATAATTAACCCCAAAAAATTTATTTGCTCCGCCAAAAAAAACTATTTTACTATTCGATAGTCCGTCAAACCAAATGGCCTCCACCTCAAAACCAATGGGTTTTTGCTAGCATAAAGTATTCATAACGTTATGATCATACCGTACTGGATTTTGGGGTTCAAACAAAATCAGCGCATATGGACTACTCGATCAATGCACCATCTGGCCATGAAATAATTTATTTTATTAAAAATTACATCATTTATCATACGAATACATGATAGGATGCTGTGCTAATTTTGATACACCGAACTAATGTTGTTTGACGAAATGTTACCACATTTGTAACGTCAAATTCGCTGCCATAAAGTCAAAATAACGTAAGTAAAATCGCTATAAAATATAAAAGCTCACAAAAAAAAAAAAAACTATATAAATATTGTATATATTTCAAGGTTTTCTTTTCAATTTTCTTGTGAAACTTGTTTCATTAATTGTTCCCAAGGAGCCAAGTTTTGCTGAATACAAATTCAGTTCCCACACACTCATTTACTACTAAACTCGAACATTCCTTATATTAATAACGTGATACATTGTAAAATCATCGATTAGGGATTTGGCACTTTATTTATGTTCCAGGGTCAACTAATTTTAGTGTATCAAATGAAATTTACGCAAAAGCCTTTTATAATTATTACTGTGTAAATAATTATGGAAGTTTTTATAATATCAATATTGATTAATTAAGCTACTTGCGATAATAAACACAGCTCTATCTTTATCCTTATTGTAGTGATCAATAAAAATTTCATTAAGGATAACTTCTGGTATTCGCATAACTTCGGGTCCTCTCAGAGGAAAATAATACATTCTAATAAAATAAACCGTGATATAATCGTTATTTTTATTAAATAAAAATAATTGTCAATGAACTTTTAAAAATAAAATAAAAATAAAAACGTTGTCTTATTTTCTTTGTTTAAAGCGCTTTGATAAAAGCAACAAGTGTAGTTGGTGGAACTTTGGTAACAAGCCATGTTTATTTACTTTAGTGAGGAAGCAAGCAAGGTTAGGACTAACGTTGGTTAACTAGTGGGTGTTAATGAAGTAATATTATTGTAGTCGTAAACGTAAAGCCGTTGAACAAGCTACTTAAGTTGTCTTGCAAGTAAATCAAATCGAGTTTGCAATCTGTCAGCAAACGACTAAAACAAATCAATCACAAGTGAATAAAAAGAACTTAATAGCATTGCAAAAGGGCCATATTCAGCTATCTGGTTATTGTGAGTTATTAACCGACAAGGGTAACCCAAAAGTTGAGCCATAATTGTTAATTAGCCAAAATGATACCTCACAATATCATCATTCAACAAGAAAAGTTTATTATTTCAAAATATTAAGAAATAAAATAAGAATGAAATAAAAATAAATAAAAAGAAAATAATAAATTTATAGCAGAGACTAAATTAGTCATTCAACAATTCTTTTACTATTGTCACTAGAATCTAATGTTAATTAATTAATTAATTAATATCATTAGTAATAATCAATGATTAGTAATTTCAAATTAATTAATAATGAAAATTTATTCACCTTTGTTAACATTTTAGAAAAAAGAGTTACAATCAAGATTATTTAACGAACTATTACTTGTATAACTTTTAAAGCTTTTAGATTTAGCAATCTCTTCATCTAATATTCTACTTGTATGGTATGCATCTGGATGTGATTTGTGTGCTTGCTGCAAAGTACTACTATCACTGCTACTACTAGTAGTATTATTACTATCATAATTTTTAATAATTTCATCATGTTTATTTTTAGCAAATTCAAACAGCTCTTTACTAGTTGGTCTTTTTGATGGATCCACATCCCAACACCTCTGCATCATTTGCACATAATAATCAGGCATTCCAGGTAGTATTGGTGGTCTTAAACCTTCGCATATATCAAAAATCAAACGATGATTGTGAGCTCTATCATCAAATGGTGTATGGCCTGCAAATATTTCCCACATTAACATCCCAACACTATAAATATCAGTTTCTTTGGTGTTTTTTGTATCAATTTTACCTCTAAGTAGCTCGGGTGCAACATATGATACAATCCCATAGACTTTATTTGATGATTCATCATCAACTGGTCCACATAATCCCAAATCTGTAATATAACAACAACCTCCATTTATTAATATATTGCCACTATGTAAATCACAATGGATTAAATCTTTCTGATGTATATCATTTAATGCCCAACATAAATAACCAAAAATTCTAATTCTGTCTTTTAATGTTAAATTTTTTTTTGTAAATAACCCCTTAAATTTCCTTCTGATAAATAATTTAAAACTATTGCATAATTTCCATTATCTGGGAATTTAGTTATGCCATGACAATTAACAATCAACCCTGATTTAATTTTACAATAATTCACTGCCTATTGAACATAAAACAAATTAGTATTATATAATACAACATTGTTTTAAAAGACAACTACCAACCTCATCAAAAAAGCCTTTTCCTGGATTACTTGAATTGTTTAAACTTTTTAATACTACTCTCTGTCCACTACCTCCTAAATAACTAAATTCCTTTTTGTTTTCGTCGTAATCAAATATTCTTCCTCTTGTCCATGTGGTAGTAAAAATCGAACTAAATCCACCTTCTGTCAATTTTGTCACTTTTTTAAATTGTTCAAAAGGTATCCATTCTAAAATATAGTTTGGAAGAGATGGTTTCATTTGACATTGTTGAATAAAATCATCAATTATGTTATTTCCAGATGTCCAAGTGGTGAAAAGACTCTGTAATTGTAAACTAATACAGCCTTCACAGAACCTATCAGAGTATCTTGTCAATTTACACTTGTTACATTCTTTTGGTTTTCCCACTTTATCTCTTGCATTCTCTAATTCAAACTCATAAATAAACTTTTCTTTACAATATTCTTTTTCATTTTCAGAAAGCTCCTTGTTTTTTTTGACCAATAAAAAAAAAAAATCTTTTCTACTTTCTCTATCACAACTAATACTGGCATTATTACGCATTTCATTATTAATTTTACGCACAAAATTCTCTCTTTCTGGTGATAACGATGATAATAGTTTATTGTATGACATTATATAAAGATATAAAATATAAAATTCGACTTGGTGTTTGTTTTAATATTAATGAATATGAGATTTTTGTGTGATGTGTAACAAACAATTTTTTTCGTATATTTGATTGCCTTTAAAATCACCAGTCGATTTATCATGATTCAACAATAAAAAAAAATCTTTGAAGATTTAAAATTTATAAAAATAGAAAACAAAAT